CTGGTTTTTATGATTTTCCAGTGTCTAGGCTCCTGTTACAGATTAACTTAAATTCACAATAAAAAAAATAAATAAATAAAAATTTTAAAAAAGGACTTTACAAAAAGTTAATCAATTCAAAGCTAAATCTTTTTAGCATGAACCAGTAAAATGTTCTGTCCTCTCCACGCCTACATCTTATTGTGTGCACCATACATCCTTTACCTGATTAAAGATAACAGGATCAAGAAAATGTCCCACCCTTTACTACTCAACATGTCAGAACAATGATTCACTTTACTTTTCTCATCTCTCTCTAGACTGCCAGGTAATAAACCGAATAGAAAATCTCTTTTTCCTTTCAGCAGTGGGAATCTTATGGTGCCGACTGCTTATCCCACTCTATTTCCAAAAAGGTATTCACTGCAATAAGGTTCAAGGAGTAATTTGCATTTCTATGATGCCTCACATGTATCAAACCATTAGCATCACTGACACTAAGCTTTGTTTATGTCTCAAAAAAAACAAAAAACCTTTCATGTTGCAAGTAAGACTCTGGAGGTATCTGTGTTACTATATTTCAAGAACTACCCCTTAAAACAATGTTGGGAAAGATCCAGATGAATGAAAACTGGAACTGGGTGAAAACAAATGCTGTCAAGCTGCATCATAAAATATTATATGGTAAAAACATAAAACAATAGATTCCAACAGTAATGATGTGGTAGCTAATGTCTTGGCAATTTTTGTGTGCAGAAACTTAGAGTAAAAGATTACAAAAGCCTTGAGTATTTTTGTTCTTAACCAAAATACATGCCGTGTCTCTGCAACATACATAAAATGCATTAAAATGAACACTATAGTGTCAGGAACACAAACATGTATTCCTGACACTATACTGTTAAACCTGCTATTTAAGTCATGGAGTCAATAAACGCCAGTGCTACACACTGTGCAGCACTAACACAGGAAGCATCCCTATTGGACGTCTCAGTGACTGTCATTGGAGGTGTTACTAGGCAGCAATGTAAACACTGCCTTGTCTATGAAAAGGCAGTGCTTACAATGAAAAGCCTGCAGGGACAGGCTATAGACACCAGAACCATTACATTGAGCTGTAGATGTTCTGGTGAGTATAGTGTCCCTTTAAGTTCAAAAAAGTTTTTTATTATTTTTTTTAAACAGCCCCACCTTGTGCACAAGACTTTAAACTTATTGTAAAAAAATATTTTTTAATTTATTAGAACAAATGTATACATTTTTCCCCTCCATATATTAAATTAAAACCCAGTTTGTTACAATACTGCATCATGGCCCTTGCAGAGATAGGAGGGTTAAATTTAGCACACTTCTGTTTAGCTGCTTAGCAACACTTATCCTATGACCTTCAAAGCCCTACCCTCTTTTAAAAGGGATAATGAATACAACCATCCAAAAAGGACTTCATTTTTGTTTGTTTAATTCATTATGAGGTGACTCTCAATTCCATGGGCTAGGTTAAGGGCCAATGGGGGCAATCAACACAGACATGTACCTGGCATGCACACACAGTGAAACTAAACAATTATTTGCAATTAAAAAAAACACACAACACAAATCAAGTTGCTTATATTAGAGTTACAAGCATGACAAAATATACTCAACTGCCAAATCAGTCCACATCACTACCATATGTTGTGTAAAAGTGGGACTAACATGAAAATGCACCAGTTGTCTAGAGATAGGAGCCATCCCCCCAAAAAATTAAATTAATAAAACATCATCATTAAGGTTACAAAAAAAAAAAAAAAGGTTAATTGTCAGGAGCAAAACAAGTATTCAAGTGAATTTCACATTTTAGGCCAAAATAGTCAAATTGGGCTAATTAGTCAGCAAAATTTCCAGTTTGGCTCTTATGGCCTAAAATTTTAAATTCTTTAATATTCACACTTTTGTGCATAATCTTTAAGATGTGTGATTCCTGCAGGGCAAGAAATATCTGGTTGTGGCATTCCATAATACTGAGGCCTAGATAAAGATCAAATCAACATGCAGGTACCAATAGGTAAACAAATTATTTTCTGTTCACTGATGGGACCACACAAAGAATGCTAGGAGAAATAAGGTGTTACAGCACAGAAAGGTAGATTAGCCATTCACTAAGTATACACACAGGCAGGAAATATGATGCAGACTTGTATACCTCTAAAACATAACTGTGTAGTACACCTAATTAAAGGAATTCATGGGACAAATTTGTCTGTCAAAGTCCAGAAAATATAATGCAAGGGGTACTGCTTAATATCCTGCTACCTGACTTCAAAATTCCAGGCACACGTAGGATCACAATAACGGGTTTGAGTTCCAGAACATTTGATCTAGAAACATTTGTCTTCTGATTGTTTGCTCCCAGGCTAAGGTGTAGCCCAATGCTGCAAAAAGTATACTGTTCTAAAGTAAATGCTCAAAAACAGGAAAGAAAAATCTGATTAATTTAGAAACAGGACTGTAGGGACTAGACTAATCCACCAAACTTAAAATACATTTTACTATATGTACTATTGCAGCTTGGAGGTAATGCCATGCGACCACTACACATTTAAGCTGGTAATGTAAGATAACATTACAATGTTGCTGAACACCATCCTGTTTAAAAAGATATCCATGGATTTCATCCAAACTGACCTTTGGTGATTGTATTGAGGTTTTTAAAACATCCTACCTCAAAATGCATGCAAGAGCCACATTGGCTGTGCATACATTTCAGAGGGTCACTTTGCAGCATATAGTTAACCCCCTTTAGGTCTAATAAACATTACAAAAGAATATTCATTCACACTGGAGACTACTTATGCAAACAAGATGGGTGCTATCAAATCACATCTGATGTATGGGCATGAGCAAAACGTAGAAGAGGTGTTTATCTCAACTGAAATAAAACACTTTAACTTTAGAATTTACAAAATTAAATAAATATCGACATAAATGATTACAGAAGAATTTGTATTTAATTTCCTGATGTAGCAACTCTCTCTCCCCCCCTGCCCCCCCCCCAAAAAAAACCCCACACACAACCTTTGGTCTTTAAAAGTACCCAGTTAATATTACTTAAACATCGCCATGCCCTTTCCATCTTTCTGTTAAGACCATAAATATACCACTTTGGGAGTGTCTGGAGGCTGATATTAAACACCTCCATCTCAGTGGGGTAAAGTAGGAAGAAAAAAAAAAAAACTTCCCTCCCCTAACTTAGAGCAGAGTAGTATGTTGGTGCTGCTGTGCTGGCTCCTAAGCCGTGTAGAATTTCGTAACGGAATGTGAACTGCTCATCCGGATCTGGGCTCGTTCTATCTCCTAACCAGTAAGGAGCAGGGGAGGACAGATCTGCTGAGACAGGAGAAATGCTCTCTCTCCTCCTCCTTTTATAACTCATCAAGGATGCCTTACGGAGGCAGGCGCACATAGCAAATATAATTCCTGGGCTTCATAAAAGTACATGCGTGCATACACACTGTATGCAATGCACTTCTCCACCCCCTCCTTCCCCCCAACACTAGCAAGTAGAACAAATGCAACTTAGATGTTTTGAGTATTTTTGTGCATGTAAAGGGGAAAAAAAAGAAAAACTTTAGGAAAAAAAAAAAAAAAAGTTTTCCTGTTTCACTGGAAAGTAGTTACATCTGAAATCCCTTGGAGAGATGAAAGTTATGGATTTTTTGAGATAAATTACACCAGTCTACAACTTAGATGCAAGTGTAAAATAGAGAAGTACATTTAAAAAAAAAAAACAAACAACAAAAAAATGACACACACACACACACACACAACCTCAAGTCTCCATCTTCCTCCCCAGAATGGCAGGCATCACAGAGGAAAGAGACAGCGAAGTGAAAAAAAACAACAACAAAAAAAAAATACACCACCCTACTTCTATGCTTCTTAGCAACCATTAAGGTCGCAGTCTCTCAGTCTCCTAAGAGACGAGTCCTGACTAGTTTTATCTACTTAGAATAAAAAAGGAAAAGGGGACTAGCAACCCCCCCACCCCAAACTTCTGAATAAAACAAAAAGTTTGTATCAGTGAAAAAAAAATTCAATCATGTTTGAGGATACTTAAAAAAAAAAAAAAAAATACTGAATAGGAGATAAGTATAATAATTGTCCTGGAAAATGAGATGTTACGGATGAGTGAGTGATGACCAGCATAGCAAAATAAGCATCTATGGAAATAGTTGGATGTTGGGAGGAGGAATGAGGAAACAGTATATTAAGCACCCCCATCCCACTGAATCCAGCACCCTTCATGCTCTTCCACCCATCTAAAAAAGAAAAAAAAAAAGTTTACCTCCTACCACGACTAACACCCCCCCCCCATCTGCTTTGATGGCTCCTTCCTGTACTCATGATGACGATAGTATCTTAATCTTGCTACGTGTGATTCCTCTGATGATCCACATTTCACAGGCACGGTACAAGGCACAGATGCTACGCAAAACACACAACGATTTTTAAACTAACTCCAAATAGCAGTAAAAAAAAATAAAAAATGAAGTATGTCTTACATTAGGGCACTATGCCCTTTAGAAAATCACAAGGGGTTGGAAAGTTTGTCAAGGCCAACAGGCACGCACCCCCACCTCTCGCACACAGCAAGTAGTATCAGGAACAGATAGAAAGATACATGGTGGATGCAACACTGGGAAGGACAGGGAGGAGAAAGTCTGCTATCACAAAAATAAATAAATAAAAAAGCACTGACACTATACAAGCTACATTGATCCTAAACCATCTACACACACACACACATATATATATCAGCTTTCTGCAAGTAAAGGGTTAAACTAGCACAAGCAAAACAGAAGATAAATAATACTTAAAAACTTTTTTTTGCAATACTTTTTTTCTCTCTTACCTTAAAAGGGATGCCTTCATCTCAACTTTGGATGTACTGGAAAATGGTGCAAAGAAAGGAGGTGGATAAAATGTGTATAAAAAAAATATATATATATATAATGTAAAAAAACAAACAAAAAAAAAAAAAACTCAAGTGAATGGGGGGGGGGGAGAGAAAAAAGTTTGTTTAGTGTGCTACAGAAAAGTTTGATAGTCCCTTTTTCTGTGAGGCCACAGTGCTAACAACAGCACCATCCAGGATCTGGTAGTGCTTGCTAGTTAAAAATAAACTTTGCTCTACGAAGAGATGATCTGGCTGGATTCCTGAGCTCAGACGGTTTAATATGGATGAGCATCAAGGTCCTGTAGGCAAAATGCTGCTCTTGGTGCTGCTGCTGTTGCTGCTGAAAGCTGGTTGGTAGAAAGACTTTAACAAGGAAGGGGAAGGAGAGTCAGGAGGGCGGGGAGAGATGAGAGAGGAGGAGATGGGGGAGGGGAGGGGAAAAAAGCAACATCATCTCTCCTAACATTGGGTCACAACAAAAAAAAAGTTTTTCTTTTAACCTTGATCCACTCAATTTTACATCTTAATCGGTCTCACTGAATGGCATTAATATAGAAAGGTGATCATAGGGGATGTGTAAAGAAAAGATAAACCTATATGTTTAAACACCCAAGAATACCTGTTGATTCCAGATGCTGAGTGAAATGACAACACAAACTGTAATTTTCCATATATACACTTATGTGAACACCCACAGTGATGTACATTTATATAACACCACCACATTCTGCAGCGCAGTACTGCTGGACTTTGAAACAAAAATGATGACAAATAAAAGTGAACACATAGGAGAGGTGAGGGGATCTTGCACAAAGCAGCTTGCTATCTCTCTCTCTGTATGTGTGTGTGTGTGTATATATATATATATATATATATATCAGATTGTTATTTAAATGCAGACTTTAAAATGCTTGCTATTCATCCCTGTGAGTTTTCAGCAGCTCCATCCTTTTGCAATTTCTGTGTAAAATGTCACCACTACAAAGGTCAAAATATATTTGCCTGGACAAAGCACAAAAAAAAAAAAAAAAAGGCATTACTGCACACTAATCTCCACCCTCCCCTCTTGCCAGTGGTCCCTGCATGATGGTCAGTGTGATATGCTAAAGGGATTATGCGGTTCTTTCCTCAGCTGGTAACTTTTTGAGGTACTATTGCAGGTGAGGCTTTAACAGGGTGGAGAACTCAAACAGCAGATAGAGAGAGAGCCTGTTAAGGAAGGAATTCTGTGTGGATGGGCAAAGTACAGAGTGCTCTTGTTATCGCTGCTTCATACACACTTACTTGCTTCTCCAGAGCAGCAAGTGTCTGAAAGTCTACCTACTGACCTCTGTAATGCATGGTGGAGGGGAGGTACAGGAGGAAGCAGGTAAAGCAGGTTAGGGACTTTTCAGAGTTTTTTTTTTTTTTTTTTAAACTGCAGTTCACTTATTCTTCTTACTGTTTCTCCCTCCCTCCCAAACCATCACGTGTTTCATCTCCAGAGGACGTGTTACTGAGCCCTGTGTGGCTGGTTCCTCTCCTCCTGCAGCCTGTTGCAACAGATAGCATCCTTTTCTTTTTTTTATTAAAAATCTGCAGGGAGGGGATGTGTTCATCTGCTTTACAATTTCCTTTAAATGTGTCTCCTTTCTCACTATTATTGGAAAGGGAAGGAGATAGATGATTCAGCCATCATACACTTGCCATATCAGAAATTCAAATGACAGGGGAAAAAGTCAATAATTAAGTGGCATTTAACTTTCCTGCGATTATTTTTTTTTTTTCTTAAACAAAAAAGTAGTAACAAAGCACACGTGTCTAATTAAGCACATTTTGGTGGGACTAGGAATGTAAAATACAAGATAAAGTGGAAATATTTTAGAAATCCAGGTTACGGCTCATAAAGCATTGAAGGTGTTAACCTTATGCATACAATAGAGACACCAGCCCACCCCTCATCCTAACTCATCTTACCTGCTAACACAGGTCTGAAATAGCCAGTTGGGCCCAGGGATGGGTGGGGGAGGGGATACTAATGCTGCATTCAAAAAGTAATGTGTTATTTGCAGTTTATATTTGTTTTTGTCCCCACACAATATTGGATTGCACACTTCTTGGTTCCTGTCAAGCAGATAAATAATATTACCATTAATTTCCCTTTCCCATTTTGGTCACCGGCTTAAAGGAACACTCCAGGTACAATACAAACGTCATCTTCTTGAAGTTGTCATTGTGCCTTCAGTATTAAACCTTTTATTTTAAAAGTTTGAAGGCTTGAACTATATATATATATTCCTGATGCTACAGTGTTTAAAAGGGTACACTAAACACCATAATCCCTGCAGCATGTTTTCTGGAGCAAAGTACCCGAATGCAGTCTTTCAGATTTTTCTTTTCTTAAATGAATGTGTTAGGTTAATAAATATATTTTTTAAATGTGTGTGTGTGTGTATGTGTGTGTGTATATATATATATATGGAACAACCCAAGCACCACAACCATTAAAGCGCACTGTAGTGGTTTTGATGCCAGGATTGCCCTGACAACCCCTTCGCTAATGTGTTGACTTATTACCTAAGGGTCCACGAGGCACTGGCTCCTGCCTTTCAGCAGGGAAGCTCTCTTCCTGAGTTAATCCTGGCAATGAAGGCCTCCTAGTAGGAGTATCCAGCTCTCCATACCAGAAGCTGCACCTGGCACATCCCGGTTAAGAAAAAGAAGTCAAATCCTGAGCAAACAGTTTGACTTCTTACATGGGAAGGGGGGTTCTAGGGCACCATAACAACTACAGTACATGGTGGTGATTTGAGTGTTCTTTTAATGTACATGAATAATGCATTAAAAAAATGTAAATTATTTTATTCTATGAAGAATTCTCACTAAGCTGCGCCAAGCGCTTACAGCCAATTAATGCTATCCTCCAATTTGAAGGGACAAAGTGAATGTAATTTTTGAGACTTTGGGGTGTTTTCAAGCCATGGTTTAACTGCAGAACCTAGTGATTCCTTGCATCATAACCATTATAGTAAGCTGACGTGATTATGGTCCTGAGAATGTCTTTGTAGGTAGTAAAAGGAGAGCAAAGCATAAAAATTATTGTTCCTGTAAGTTTATTTATTGTTCCTGTAAGTTTATTTGTAATTGTCCTATTTATAGTTAAATCCCCTTTCATAATATTGTAAAGTGCTACGGAATCTGTTGGCGCTATATAAATGGCAATAATAATAATAATAATAATAATAATAATAATAATAATAATAGTAGGAAATGCATTGGTAAGTAAGTACATAATAAGTAACACAGACATTACATACCATAAAGAAGTTCATGAAAGCATCTTCTGAAGAGTTTGGGTCATGATCACAGATGAAATGCAGTGGGTATGTATAGACTGCCACAATTAATCCTACAAAAAAAAAAAATCAGACCCACATGATTACTTAATTGCTCAATACATTTTATGTTTAGACACATAGCATAAAGATAATGGGACCATGCATTACTGCCTTACAGGTTCTTTTCTGTGCTAAATTTGACAGGGATGTTAGGAAATCTCTAGAAATACATTTTGGCGGCCTGAAATATCTAACTTGCAGTAACCTGGAAACGTGTGGCACAATAGGCTCTTTTCAGAGAAAATGCAGATTTAGAAAGTGCTATTAGTAGGTCAAAACCTGTGGCTGCTTTCTGTGGCAAAAGGAGAGCAAAGCATAAATGCACAGTGTTAAAGTAAAATACTTGTCTAGGATTAGGATCAGACTGGCTACAGAATATACAGCTTTAAGGACTGTATACGTATTTTACAGGAGACAGGACAAGTTATACAAACCCATTTCATCTGCAATTACTGTGATTATAGGACAACTAAAGCCTATTTCTTTTTTTCATATGCAAATATCTAATGAGAGGCAAATAACTGCTTATTCCATGATTCCCTGAGGCCACACCACAGTACAGCTATAGGATCCTCCATATTTTTCCTATGTACATTTCAATATATCCTGAGCATTAGGTGCACCCCATCTGATGTAATGCATGATGCCTACACAGTTGCTCACAAAAACATAAAAAGGACTTAATCCAGGAATGTAAAAACAATATCTCCTGCAATTAAACAACATAATTATTTTTACTTAAGTTGTTATAGTGCCATAATAATATCTGATGTGTTCCAGCTTCCGGTTCCACCCATTCTATTGTTTTAGGGCTAGCTTCTACCCATGACTCTAAACCTTCTGAATCGGAGAACTAGTGTACTTCCTGGTTCTAATACCAGCTTATACCAGAGTTGGGAATGATCTGTCTTTAAAGGGTCACTCCAGACCCCTAAAGCACTTAAACTTTAAGTGAAATTTTCAAATTTCCTCACGCCAATAAAACTTTACATAAAGAGTGTGTCCTCTTTTTTTCATTTTGCAAAATGTGCAGATTTCAATAGCAATTGACACGTCTACAAATCAACCTGGTTACACCCGATTGGCTTTCAAGCAGACACCAGGTAATGTTACTTCCTGGTTTTGTTAGCTCCGTGTAGCTAAACTCAAGAGGCAGCAATTGCGCAGAGCACCTGTCTTGCAAAGACTTCTTTCTCCATGAGTTGCGTTAGGAAGTCTGTGATTGGACAGTCAAGTAAAGTGTGGCCGGAGTTTGAATGGGAGGATTTGCAAAGGTAGCATACAAGAGAAATTCATGTAATTGCAAGAGGTTTTTATATGTACCCCCAATACAAAATATATATTTAAATGCATTCAAGTTTTCATTTGGAGCATATCTATTAAACAGTCATTTTTATTTATTCTGTATTTGGGCGGTAGAGTCTCCCTGTAAGCTTTGCATTTTTTCCAGCAGTTGTATTATGTATTTGAATAGTTGCAATGGGAGTTTAATAGTTTCTTATTTTACTTTTTTTGAGGCTAAAGAAAAGAAGCTTTAAGAAGAAAGGGACATTGGATCCCTCCCACATTGTTTAATTAGAGCCCCTACTTCCCACTCACATGGGTGGAAGACTAGGATCACCATTTATTTCTGCTGGCCATGAGTCAGAGCACAGGGGAACACTATTTGCCCGCCACCGCTTTCTTTTTTCACAGTTTTGTGAAATTGCTATTTGTGGCAAACAAGGCAAGAGATGCCCAAATGCCAGATTCCCAGAGGTACACTATTACTAACATAATGTCTGGTCTCCCACTGTAAATTCTCTGAAAGTGAAATTTTCAAATTTCCTCACGCCAATAAATGCTATTGAAGTGCTTACTGATGTAAGTAATTTACTTGTAGGGACACTATAGTGTTAGGAATACAAATGTGTATTCCTGACACGATAGTTGTAATAAC